CAGACCCTGCTGATGGGTAATACAGACCCTGCTGATGGGTAATACAGACCCTGGTGATGAGTAATACAGACCCTGGTAATGGGTAATACAGAACCATTGTGATGGGTAAAACGGACCCTGGTGATGGGTATATAGACCCTGGTGATGGGTAATACAGACCCTGGTGATGGGTAATACAGACCCTGGTGATGGGTAATACAGACCCTGGTGATGGGTAATACAGACCCTAGTGATGGGTATATAGACCCTGGTGATGGGTAATACAGACTCTGGTGATGGGTAATACAGACCCTGGTGATGGGTATATAGACCCTGGTGATGGGTATAAAGACCCTGGTGATGGGTAATACATACCCTTGTGATGGGTATATAGACCCTGGTGATGGGTAATACAGACCCTGGTGATGGGTATTACAGACCCTGGTGATGGGTATATAGACCCTGTGATGGGTAATACAGACCCTGGTGATGGGTAATGCAGACCTTGGTGATGGGTATACAGACCCTGGTAATGCATATTAGACCATGGTGATGGGTATACAAACCCTGGTGATGGGTATATAGACCCTGGTGATGGGTATATAAACCCTGGTGATGGGTATACAGACCCTGGTGATGGGTAATATATACCCTGGTGATGGGTATATAGACTCTGGTGATCGGTAATACAGACCCCGGTGATTGGTATACAATCCCTGGTGATGGATAATATAGACCCTGGTGATGGGTATATAGACCTTGGTGATGGGTATATAGACCCTGGTGATTGGAAACAAACCCTTGTGATAGATAATTTAGTCCCTGGTGATGGGTATATAGTCCCTGGTGATGGGTATATAGACCCTGGTGATGGGTATACAAACCCTGGTGATGGGTATATAGATCTGGTGATGGGTTATAAACCCTGATGATGGGTATATATATCTTGGTGATGGTTATATAGACTCTGGTGATGGGTAATACAGACCTTGGTGATGGGTATATTGACCCTGGTGATGGGTAATACAGACCCTGGTGATGGGTAATACAGACCCTGGTGATGGTAAATAGACCCTGGTGATTGGTAATACAGACCCTGGTGATGGGTAATACAGACCCTGGTGATGGGTATACAAACCCTTGTGATGGGTAAACAAACCCTGGTGATTGATATTATAGACCCTGGTGATGGGTAATACAGACCTTGGTGATGGGTATACGGACCCTGGTAATGCATATTAGACCATGGTGATGGGTATACAAACCCTGGTGATGGGTATATAGACCCTGGTGATGGGTATATAAACCCTGGTGATGGGTATACAGACCCTGGTGATGGGTAATATATACCCTGGTGATGGGTATATAGACTCTGGTGATCGGTAATACAGACCCTGGTGATGGGTATATAGACCCCGGTGATGGGTATACAATCCCTGGTGATAGATAATATAGACCCTGGTGATGGGTATTTAGACCTTGGTGATGGGTATACAAACCCTGGTGATGGGAAACAAACCCTTCTGATAGATTATTTAGACCCTGGTAATGGGTATATAGACCCTGGTAATGGGTATATAGACCCTGGTGATGGGTATACAAACCCTGGTGATGGGTATACAGACCCTGCTGATGGGTAATATATGCCCTGGTGATGGGTATATAGATCCTGGTGATGGGTATATAGACTCTGGTGATGGGTAATACAGACCCTGTTGATGGGTATATAGACCCCGGTGATGGGTATACAATCCCTGGTGATAGATAATATAGACCCTGGTGATGGGTATATAGACCTTGGTGATGGGTATACAAACCCTGGTGATGGGAAACAAACCCTTTTGATAGATTATTTAGACCCTGGTGATGGGTATTTAGACCCTGGTGAAAGGTATATAGACCCTGGTGATGGGTATACATGTATAAACCCTGGTGATAGATAATATGGGCCCTGGTGATGGGTATATAGACCTTGGTGATGGGTATACAAACCCTGGCAATACATAAACAGAACCTGTCTATAACAAAAATAGTATGAATAAATAAATAAAACAAAAGATTAATAAATGAATAAATAACAAAATAAATAAAAAGATAATTAAAATAATAAATAAATAAATTAATTGACTAATTTTAAAAGAATAATTATAAAAAGGAATGAATATTATAAATAAATAAATAAATCATTTATTAGTAAATCAAACATTTACTTAATTATTAGAAATAATAAATAAACCATAATTAATTAATTAATAGAAGATTTAATTACTCATTAGAATAATACCATTAATTAATGAAAAAAAATGAATGTATTCATAAATAAACAAACAAATAATGAATATATCAGTTAAGTATCTTATTTATAATTATTACAATTAAAAAAATAAATGAATGACTAAAAGATTAAATGAACAAATAAAAACTAATTGCAAAGTTAATAGCAAACTTATTAATTCTTCTGCTTTTTAAATAAAATTTTATTGAATTATGCATAAATTTCTGCATCTGAGAATAGCAATACTAGTTTTCGTTATATATTCCGTGTGTTGCAAAAACGCGGAACGGAAAACGGAACGGAACGGAAAACGAAATAAATATTAAATCACTTATCATACACAATGTTTGTCATAAACAGTATATTTTAAACACATTCAATTCCCTATTATAAAATAAGTTTATTAAGTCATGTTCAGCCTCTTTTTTTATTGACAAACAAGTTAATGAAACAAGAATATTTATAAACAGTCTCGTTTAAAGTCATCATTTCGTACTTTCTATCGTCGATACAATGACCTTGTCAGCCAATACAATTTATCATTGAGTCAAATGCTGACTGACGTTTTTCATACTACTTGTTACTCCATTATTTATACACTGAATTGACGACGGAGTTTTCCGTTATTTCCCGGAAATAATGACAAGGAGCACACGGTGGGTGTGACCGGTCGGCAGGGGATGCTCACTCCTCCATGGCACCTTATACCACCTCTGATGTTTTGGAGGTCCTTGCACTGCTCCCATTTTGTATTGTTTTATAGACTTTCGATGTTGAAAACTGTTCGTTATCTCCATATCCTTCATTCACGAAAATTGCTGACATAGCAGTGACAAAGAATTGAAAATTACATGAAAGTTTGTGTGTGTGTGTGGGGGGGGGGGGAGAGAGAGAGAGAGAGAGAGAGAGAGAGAGAGAGAGAGTGGTGGGGTTATTTCTGGAAAGAATTTGACAAGCAAAAAAATACAAAGAGAGAGAGAGAGAGAGAGAGAGAGAGATGCTCCAATGTATATATTTTTTTGTACAGTTACTAACTACTTTTTAAATCAACAAGAGTGTGGAGAGATTTCAATAAATATTTCTATATTTTTAAAAGGTTTTGTTGGAAAAATGGGAGGGGGGGGGGCAAATATCAGATATCAAGACAATGTTAAAGAGAATTTCAATTATTTTTAAAAATCTATTTATGGACAATTTTTCCGGCAATCTCAGATAAACACCTCTAATGTGTAAAGTTCATTTGTTTTAATTTTTTTCAAAATAGAGCAGCTTCCTATATAATAAAATTTTTTGATAAAAGTTGAGAAACTTTTCTGTGTTAATAATGTAGCATCTTTACATTTAATGAAGTTTTTTTTGTATGTGGTACATGTGTGCGTGATTCAACTTTAAAAAAGGTGGATATGAATGAATGGTGAAACATTTGAAAGTTTATTTTCCCGCTCTTTGGAAAGGAACTTAAAAGTTTCAATTTTTTCTTTGTCTTTATTTTTTTAAATTAGCTGTTCAAGCTTTTTACATGAAACCTATGGTGTGACAAATTTCTGCCCCTTGTGTGCAAGTTAATTTTTTTTGATCAAATATGTCTTTAATGCAAGATAAATATGTTGACATGCAAGATAAAATATGTCAACATGCATTATCTGAATATAAATATGTTGACATACAAGAAAACTGCAATCAAATAAGAATTATAAAAAATTTTTATAATCTCACCAGGTACATGTGACATCCAACATGCTAGATGCTACTTATTTATGTTAACATGCAACTTATTTATGTTGACATGCAACTTCTTATGTTGACAAAGTCAACATTAATTTAATGTTTACATTATTTATGTCGACATGCAACTTAATTATTTGACATGCTGATAAATATGTCTCCATGCAACTATTTATGTCCAAAAACTTAATGTCTCCATGCAACATTATTTATGTCTCCATGCATTATTTATTTGACATGCAAGATGAATATGTTGATATGCAAGATGTAATATGTTGACATGCAAGTTTGGTTATGGTAGACATGCAACTTATTTATGATGGCATGCTGTTTGTTTGAAAGAGGGTGCAGTTTATCAAAATCTGTGGTTGCATGAATGAGAGGCTTAACCTCTGAATCTATTCGTTTGCTCATCTGGACTTTCTACACAACTGACAAGGTAAAATTTTGTTTTAAATCTGATATAAAGCTGATGTTGGATGTAATGAAGATTTGCGAACTTTTGATTGATTAATCAAGGTAATTTGTATAATCCTTACAAAAAGTAATTCTTGATGTCAATATCAAAAGTTGAAAAGGAAACTTGAATAGAGAGATTCATGTGCTATTATTTGATTAAACATAATCTTTTAGTTCCACACTTTTTAGTTTGTACCAGGAATGCAAGAGACCAGAGGCCCGTTTTACAAAAGAACTTATGACTAAGACCAAAAACTTCATTTGTTTGTAAAATTTTGCTAAATTAATCATTCTCCTTGAAATGTTTTGTGTAAAAATATTTTACCACATTCCTTTTAAAAAGTTTAATATGATTTTTAATATAATGTTTAATTGAATTGCAATTTTTTTATATGATAAATTTACATTTAGCCAAATCGTGGTGTATTTATAGAATAATTTAGTTTGATGTAAATTTACACACGTATGAAAGCAAAACAAAAATTCATTGTTTAAAAAAAATTTCCCATAAATTTTTTGTTTATTCAAGACAACAAATTAGATTTTTAAAATTCATTTTATCATGAAGCATTTTGACAATATAAGTTACAAGTTTTCATTAAATACAATTTTTGAAAAATTGCATGTGTTCAATAATAATTTATCAATGTACAGACTTTAAACTCTGTAGTGCATCTGCACTAGCCTTAATAAGATTACACAACTGAATGCTATATTCCACTCCAGATGAATGTTTTAATTCCTCACTTGCCCATTTGATTTTATCACAAAGACTATCCACAGCAGAATTGCATGCAGAAATATGATGGGCCTTTAAACCCTGAGATCCGCCACTGATTTTTTGGAGGTGCTGTTCCCCCGCTTTGTACAGTTTTGGACCTAGAAGGTGTAATAAGGCGTAACAGGTTGTTTCCCTGTAAAAGGTACATTAACAAGGGCAGATTTTTGTGTAAGTTCATCTGATGCCTGGGCCATTCCTTGGAATCTTCCAGAGATCTGGCTGCTGTTGAGCTCACAACTGAAGAAAAAATTGCAGATAATGTAAAATCAGATGACTTCTTCTTTAACCTTTGAAGATTTAATGCATTGCTGGAAAATGTATATGGAACCATTTCCAAATCTTTGATTAGTAACTTTATATGTATATTTACAAAAAGATATTCAAAAGAATTCCTCAACTTTGGATTGTCTGCTGGGAAATGCATATGGAACCCTTAGTACCAAAGTCTTGATTAGTAGACATAACTTTGTATGTACATTTACAAAAGGAAATGGTAAGGTTTGTGCTAGATTTTCTTTTTTCAAATTTCTTCACATCATGGGAATGTGAGCCACATTTTTTGTATCTACAGTTTACTGTTTAGAATAAGTATTATCATGTGTTGATGCTTGTTTTTCTCAAATCTTAAAATAAATGTAAAACAGTTCGGTGTAGAACATGGGTTATATATACATGTGAATAAATTATATAGTTTATGATAAAAATTGTGTATTTTAAGTAATTCCCTGCAGGCTATACAGTACTTCTGCGCTTGTTTGTCTTCTAAGAGTATTGTCTAAAAACATATTGTGAATTTATTGGAACATGTAAAATTAAATTCCTAACTGGTAAGACCCATCCCAACCCTTCCATCCCTTCCCCTCCCCTCAATTTATTATTTTACAAAAAGCTTATAAAACAACTCATACAGGGAGACTTACAATGAATCCTTCCCAATTTTCTGTTTTGCCAATAACTTTCAAAGAAATAAGACTTAACTTTTAAATGATTCAGGTGATAATTCAATTTATCAATTTTATTAAAAATTTCACTGAAATTGGAGAATGAATTACAATTAATAACTTAATTCTCTGTCTGAAATGTTAAATATCTTACTGTTGGTGCAATGGTGGGTCAGTACACTTACATCACAGACTTCGCAGACATTCCCCAGCATTTTGTAGCCCTTCAGTATACTTACATCACAGACTTCGCAGACATTCCCCAGCATTTTGTAGCCCTTCAGCAGATAGTCTCCCATTAGTTTACTGATCTTATCTGACCTCTCACGTCTGGCCTCCAAGATTTTCATCTCGGCCTCTGAGGGAGGTTGCCATTGAAAATCCTCATCTGATGTCATAAAATATATAATTAATGAAATTAAATAGGATTTGTTTGACCATGATGATGGATATTTTTTCAAATGAATATGCTTCCTAGTTCCTATCTTTAGTAAGGAGTAAGGACTATGTATCTATTCAAATTTTGTGATTATAAACATGCATTCAAGAGAGAACTAAAATTTTATTCATATTTATACTGTTTACTTACATGTAGTCAAATACATTATACAGGTCCAGGAAAATCACTATATTTAGCTATATAGGTAAATTTACCTATATAGCTTTATTTACCTATAAAATATAGCTATATTTAGCTATTTTGGAATAAGTTTCTGTTTTATGAAAAGCAGACAAAAAGTCGCACTCAGGGCCTTTCACCAGTGAGGGATCTTTTTTGTGCCAGCACCTACTGCAACACGGGGCCTCCTGTTTATACGGTCTCATCCGAAGGACCGCGCGGTCTCCACGTCCCGCAGTGGGATTCGAACCCGCGACATAAGGATTGACTCTTACTTCGCGACTCTAGAGCAGACGCTCTAACCACTAACTTAGGTATGAAAATGGTGCCTAAAGTTGAAACTCGAATTTTCTCCAAATGAAGATGGTGTAATATTTCTTTTCACTACATATCCAGTTACAACTGGCAAGAACCTGTTTATATAACCAAGATTTAATTGAAATGGGTATTTATACAAATAATGTATATATTTGTTAGATATGACCACCTATTTTGAATACTCCCTTAATACTCCCCAATTTAATGAAAAAAGTATGAGAGCAAACATTTCTTTTAAGAAAAACCTGAGAGATATTAATTGAGATTACCCTGTCAGTCACATATTAGGCTTGATATTGGCAAAAGAATAATTT